GTGGCCGCGCTCGTCCGCGGCACGGAGGAGGGCCCAAAACTGCGTCTTCTCTAAGAAAAGGGGCTCCAGGACCTGCAGAACCCCTTACAGGGAGTTAAAACTCCCCAAAACGCTGGGAGCAAGCAGAAGCCAGAATTTAAGCTGCCCCCGCAGCCCCTTCCTCGCCGCAGGCCGCGGCACGGGGCTGTTACACCAGGAGCAAAGCCCCCCTGAGCCACCAGCACCAGGCAAGCGAGTCCTCCGCCCTGCCTCAGTTTCCCTCAGCAGCAAAAGGGTCACCTCACCTGCCGCAGCGTCGCTGTGAGCACTTGACTGCTTCTCTAGGGGGAGGTTAAACGTGGTTTCAAGCCTGGGCCAAGCGTATAAATCCATGTCGAGTGCCCGTCGCTACCAGCAGACTGCCTGAGGAAGACTCGGAGACAGGGAGTTGGCTCTTTCCGCTTGCATTTTGGTTCTTTCACCCCAGGGACGGCCACGGCACAGGGGCTCGACAGCCCAACGGCAGCGCGGCCAACGCCAGGTCGGATGGAGGATCGCTACCCCTTCGGAGGAGAAAGACATGTCTTTATTTAACTGAAAACGAGCGCTAGACAGTAATGAAACTTCAGACAAAAAGTCCATCGAGTATAAAAGAAACTGGTTTAGTCTACATTAATAACCTCGTGATATGCAAATGGCAAAACGCTTCCATGCTACAACCACCAAAACAGCTTCGCGGTTCTTGCTGTGACGGCGCAGCGAGAGGATTCGACGCCCTCGACCGACGGCCCCTGCACGGAGCTCAGCCCGGCTGCGGGGGAAACCGGGCGGCGTGCTCGGGCAGCCCGTCCCACCGGGAGCGCGCGCCGGTCACCACATCCAAACACCTAAAGCGGGTGCGCTCGCGGGTGCTCCTCTCCAACAACAACAACGACAACAACAAAATCCCCGTGAACTAAAGAAGCTCGGATTGCACACGTCAGTCCCGACGGCACCCTCTTCGTCGTCAGGTCAGCGTGACACAGCACAGCCACCCTACAGCTCAGTTAAGCCCAAACGCTATGTTTATTGAGGACTTCTAATACCATGATACCTCGGTTCAGTAATTTGTGAAATATCTAAATATCGTTAAATATATTTTTAAAAAAACCCTAACCAGGCTCTGGACCAAACAAGATGAACGTTAAACTAAAAAGTCAGAAGGGACGCTGTTTACATTAACGCTTTTCTTTAAAAAATATAATTGCTTTTTTCTTTTTTTTTTTAAGTCAATTAACCACAGTGGTGAGACGTGCTCTCTTTTTCAGCTGTTAACAGTGCAGCGTGCAGAGTTTTACTTCCCAGATCACACCGGCCCCGCTGTAACCGAACTGAAAGGGAACAACTCGCACCCGCGTGCGGAACGGTGCCGTCTCCCCGTCACGTGGAAAAGAGTTGTGTCACCACTGTGCGATAGGGCAGCCGAAAAAACAGGAGTCTCTTGGTCAATGCCAGCAGGCAGTTGGAAAGCCTTCCGTGTTCTAATAGAAAAGTCCATAGGAAGCTGTGAACAGGATCAGTCCAGAGGAGTTAACACTCTCGTGTCCGTCCCAGTTATCAGTCAATGTACTGCGATAGCCAACGGAAGCCCTCGCCGTAGCCTTGCCTCTTCAGCACGCTGCACATGAACACCTCCATGGGGCGTGCGTTCAGGTCCTTCAGCGGCACGTTCCCCTGGGGAAATCCAAAGAGAAATCAGAACCGCATCCCTGCCGCCCTCACGGAACCACAGTGGTGACCGAGTCTAGGAAAACCCCTCTCTCGGGAAACCCCTCTCTCAGCCCAGGAATTTCCCCTCTTCGCTGCCGCACGCCGCCAGCCCCTTCGCGAGAGGGACCTGCCCACGGGACTGGCAGAGCCAGGAGTGTGGGAGAATGGGCGTTAGGAACACCAAAGCAAACCGCTTTCCAGGCACGGCCTGATGTGCCTGCTCCTGTGAGGAGCGGCTGAGGGAGCTGGGACTGTTTGGTCGGGGTAAGAGGAGGCTCAGGGGGGACCTTATTGCTCTCTACAATTCCCTGAAAGGAAGTTGTAGGGAGATGGGGGTCGGTCTCTTCTCCCATGTTATGAATGACAGGACGAGAGGGAATGGCCTCAAGTTACGCCAGGGGAAATTTAGGTTGGATATCAGGAAAAATTTCTTCACAGAGAGGGTTGTGAAGTATTGGAACAGGCTGCCCAGGGAGGTGGTGGAGTCCCCATCCCTGGCGGTGTTTAAAAACCGCGTGGATTTGGTATTGACGAACACGGTTTAGGGACCCTGACGGTGCAGGATGAATGGTTGGGCTCGATGATCTTGAGGGTCTCTTCCAACCAGATGATGATTCTGTGATCCAAGAGGCAACTGTCGCCGCGTGGATCAGCAAGCGCCAGGAGCAGCCTTGCAGCGTTCTACTACCCTCACCCGGCGTTTCCACGTTCAATTCTCCCCAACCACACTGTTTTTACACACTGAAAAAATGGTTTTTACCGTGTTTTGCACAATTCTGGCAGTTTCAAAACTTGCCCAAGGGCGTTGTTAGTATTATGATGATGATGAAAAGTTCAGCTTGGTCAATATTGTGGACAAATTCACAGTAACACCTCCGTTAGTTTCTGTACGGAGGCCTCGTTCTGCAACGCAACGCGCAAGCGGATCGTCCCTCCGTCCCTTGCGGACGATCCAGGCTTTGGACGCCTCCCTACCTTTCCCGTGGTCTGTCCGTAGAGTCCAAAGATCTCCCGCAGTTTCTCCTCGCTGATGGCCTCCGGTCTGTCGATTTTGTTACCCAGGATAAGGATTGGCACGTTGGATATTGTTTCATCTGTCATTAGCGCCTGCATGCAAGACGGAGGGGTTAAGCAGAGACAGAGGAAAAACAATGATAATTCAAATAAAAACCTTTTGTTTCAGCTCTGTGACCAACGAGGGCTGTTTTTTTGGTGCCACAGTACTCCCACGGAAGAGGAGGCTCTCCGGAAAGGTTTCTCACAAGAAGCTCCTATCTAAACCCATGGGCTGCTTCAAAACCTCTTCGAAGGCTGCTCCAGAAGAGCCTACGGTTGACCCACAGTAAGGGCATCCAGGCTTCTCCAGCTCTGGGAGAGCACACCCATAAATCCACACTGATCGCTCCCTGCGTAAAAGAACGTGGAAATTCCTCTAAGAACACGCTTTGGACCGTTAAAAGCTGCACTGGGAATGCAAGTCCAAATGCACTCTCAAAACACGCCTACGCACACGTTCCAGCCCCAAAAAGGAGAGCATTATTTACAATTTAGCAACTCAGAGGTGTTGGGAAAGGGAAAAAACAATAAAAAAAAAAAGTCTATTTACATTCAGCTCGACTTTGGATTCCATGAGACGCGAGTGATCCGCACAGTCCACCAGGAAGACGATCCCGTTGATGGCAGGCAGGTAGTTCTTCCAGACCCGGCGAGCTGGAACACACAACCCACAAATACCGCCCCGTGAAAACGCTGCCTGAAACGACCGGGAAAACTACCCCCAGCAGCGGGAGCCGCCCTCTCCGTTAAGATTCCCTCAAGGCAGCAGACAAACTTCCGGCAGAGGGACCGGCTGAGGCCGCACGCCAGGCAGTTCGGAGAGCCAGTTACGCGCTCTCTGCTTTCCCAAGTAAGCCTCGGCAACCAAGGCTGACTTTTTAACCAGTATTTTTATGTGTTAAAAAATACTAATAATTAAAAAAAAAGGCAGAAAACCTTTTCTTAGAACTTCTGGAAAGTCTAAAAATAAAAATTCAGCAATTATTCAAAAGCATAACCCTGTGACGTCCGAGCCTTCCATGGCTAAGGATATTTCAGGCAGCAGAGCATGAACTGGCAGCGATTTTTTCCAAACTGCCAGAATTAAGCGGAAGCATTGAACCACCGAAACAACTGGTATCCAAGAGCCAGGAGGTTTTTTCCACATACTGCTCCATAAATAATTTCAGGCAACAAATAATTAAGTAGTGCTAATTGCTATCGCTTTTCGGTACCACTTTTTTGGTAATTTTCCTTCAAGTGGCCGGAGAACGTCGTGGAAATGGGAAATCTGACCTTATTTGGTGTTTCCCACTCAGCCCTTTTACCTTGTTCGTGTCCACCCAGATCAAAAGTCGTAAAGGTCATTCCAGCGATCGTCAGCTCCTCTGATGCTGGAAAGGAAAAATACAGGCTGTGTTCCAGGAAAATAAAGAAGCCGTCCCGGACAGGACTTGTTGGGGACTCGCGTTAACATAACACACTCTCCTTATATAAGATATCCTGTAGAATTCAGGAATTCCCTCTAGTCGCTGAAATGGAGTCGTTTCACAAAAACCACGAGCGGGAGAAAATAATTTCTCCTACCTCCCCAATTAAGCACATGCTTATTAATCTGCAATCGCTCCCTGCCCCGCCTCCTGTTAACCGAACCACGCCGGATCTCGGGCTGTCCCTTTTGCATTTGGGAGAAAAACGCAAATCCGTGTCGGCTCGGGCGACCGACGCGCCACTGCAGCCCACCACGATACGTTTTGCG